TGCAGCGGCGGGCCGGTAGGTGCAGCGGCGGGCCGGCAGGAGCAGCGGCGGGCCGGCAGGGTGCAGCGGCGGGCCGGCAGGAGCAGCGACGGGCCGGCAGGGTGCAGCGGCGGGCCGTAGAGTGCAGCGGCGGGGCCGTCGGCAGCAGAGGCGGGGCCGCGTCAGAGGAGGCGGCGTGGCCGCGTCAGGGGAGGCGGCGGGGCCGCGTCAATGGAGGCGGCGGGGCCGCGTCAGGGGAGGCGGCGGAGTCGCGTCAGGGGAGGCGGCGGGGCCTCGTCAGGGGAGGCGGCGGGGCCGCGTCAGGGGAGGCGGCGGGGCCGCGTCAAGAGAGGCGGCGGGGCCGCGTCAAGGGAGGCGGCAGGGCCGCGTCAGGGGAGGCGGCGGGGCCGCGTCAGGGGAGGCGGCGAGGCCGCGTCAAGGGAGGCGGCGGGGCCGCGTCAAGGGAGGCGGCGGGGCCGCGTTAAAAGAGGCGGCGGGGCCGCGTCAAGGGAGGCGGCTGGGCCGCGTCAGGGGAGGCGGCAAAGCCGCGTCAGAGGAGGCGGCGGGGCCGCGAGTGAAAAGGCGACCCGAGGGGTCGCTAAAAAAAGGGCGCGCCTCGGGGCGCGCGTCGGTGGGCCCAGACAACGGTCCTAAGGTAGGACCCGCTCTATACCATGTGAAAATAGGAAAGCAGGAATGAATGAACTATGAATGAAAGCAGTACAAATATGAAACCCTAACTGGGTTGTACCCCCTATGGGATACCCCACTACAGCCTACACAGCAGTATAAGCTATAGATATGTTCTGACAATGGATGCTGAAGTCGCAGCGCTTAAAGCTCGCGACACCTGGGTCCTTACTGATCGCGCTGCCCTGAAGGGGAGACACGTTCTCTCGGGAAAATGGGTCTTCCGCGTAAAAACCACCGCCGACGACACCATCGAGCGCTATAAGGCCCGATGGGTTGTTCGCGGGTTCGATCAATACCACGGCGTTGACTTTGACCAAACCTTCACCCCTGTCAGCCGCCACACCTCCGTTCGCATTCTCCTCGCCATCGCAGCAGCAAAACATCTCCCCCTCCGCCAAATTGACGTCAAAAACCCGCTCCATTACGCTCCTGTGGACACCCTCATCTTCATCGAACAATCTCACACCTACGGCGACGGCGACGGTCGCGTGTGTCAGCTCCCCAAATCGCTTTATGACATCAAGCAAGCGCCACGTCTCTGGCAGTAGTACCTCCACCAAATCCTGCTCGACATCGGCTTCATCCAGCTGCCTCACGACCCCGGCATGTACCGCCTCCACTACTGCGGAGATTATATCCTCCTAACAGCGTACGTTGACGATCTCCTCTACACCAGCACCAGCTACGATCTCCTTGCCCGATTCAAGAAGAACCTCAGCAACCGCGTCGAAATCACCAGCACCAACCAAGTCACCCAGTTCCTGGGCCTCAACATCTCCTACTCTGATGATGCGATTCACCTCTCCGCCTCCAAGTACGCTGAAACTCTTGCAACCAGATTCAACATCAAACCAGCCAACCTCTCAACTCCTTACCGCAACCCGGCCACACCGCACCTCCCCGACACCACACCTCTCAACCCATCCGTTCATCAACTGTACCAGCGGCACCTCGGCTGTCTCCTCTTCGCCGCAGTCACATGCAGGCCTGACCAGTCCTACATCTTGAGCCAACTCGCTCAGTATGCCAAGCGGCCTGAAGGGGAGCACATGTTTGATTTACAACACGCCCTACAGTATTTCATCTCACCTACTCAACCCTCACGACCCGCTCCTTCAGCCTTGTCGGCTGCGTGGACGCAGATCATGCTGCCGATCCTGCGAATCGACGGTTCCGAACCGGCTTCGTCTTTTGTCTCGAGCCTACCGGACCAATCTCCTGGAATTCCCAGAAGCAAGAAATGGTGGCGCTCTCCTCCGCTGAAGCTGAATCCATCACTGCCACGTCAGCTGCTCGCGAAGGACTTTACCTTCGGGAGCTGCTCCAAGAGGCAAAAATCGCGACATCCGCAGGCTTCAAACTTCATTGCGACAACCAAAGCGCGATAAAAATCGCGAACAAGCCTGGTTTCATCAACTGCACCAAACACATCGCACTCCGCTACCTCTTCGTCAACGACGAAGTTGACCAAGGCAAAGTCATCTTGACTTACTGCCCCACTGGTGACATGACAGCTGACTTCCTCACCAAGAAGCTGCCACGTTAGCAACATCATCACTGCGGAAACATCTGCGGTGTAACCAAGCGTGTCAAGTTTTCGCTCTTACAGGAATGAAGGGGAGTGTTACGAAATGGAGTTGTTGGATAAACATTCATGAGTAACAAATCCAACGCAAAGATGACTGCAGCGAGGACGAAAGACCAAGCGACGAGACAGTTATTGAGACAATTACAAGCAGGAAGAATTCGAAGTGCAAAGCGCGGGAAAAGTTCAAACGGTTACTGGACCGCATACGGTTACCGAACCGCACGGTTGTGATGCTGCATCTAGATTAGCCCTAAGGGGAATGTACCCACTCAGAGTACATGGCTAGCTAGGACCTTTTGTATTCCACTGTATTCCTATATAAACCCATGTACCGCATTGTAGTAGTCACTTCTGTCGAGATTCAAATCTCCCTTTTCTGACAGAGTCCGTACCCGACATTACCTAGCAATCTTCCGCCGCTACACTCCGTGCGATCAACCTGAGACGATCCTATAAGACGGTTCATATTGTATCATGTCAGACGATTTTCCAATTGTTGTGAAAAAAGTGGTGGCATAAATGGCTCACCAAACTATGAAAGTGCAAGCTGAAAAAAATGGTAGAATATAGGTGTTAAGATTGCTTGATAGGGTTGTAACAATGGATTATTGTAGGGGCTCGAAAACAGCTGATCGCGAAGGTGATTGTGCAAGTATGGCACACGTGTAATGGCGTGTGCAAAAACCCGACGTCGAGGACGTTGGTGAATTTCCACCCTCGGATCAAATGTTCCAACCGTCAGGATTCACCGACGTTCCTCGACGTCAAGTTTTTGCAGTACACATGTTGCTCAACTGCTGCGAGTGAATTTGCCCTGCACACGCTAGAAAGTCTGCATCCGTGTATTTTGCGCCAGCTAGTTGCGCCTACGTTACAAGCACCCTGAGCAAGTTGCACTGACTATGGATCAATATTAACCACAGAAACCAATGTCAAACTGAAGAGATCGAAGTCAAATAGTCAACGAGGAGTTATAATTTCTTTATTAGCCCTTTTTTGCTATGTGCGATGTTGACGAAATTTGCGAAATGCTGAAAAGCACTTAAAACCGGAGTCCCAAACAGCCCCAAAGTGCCTCAACCTTCCTAACTTTGAGAAGGGGTGACCCAATTGGTACGACTCACTTCGCAAATCGGGGGGACAATTTTCGTCACGCGAAAAAACTGTTCTAGCGAGGACGAAAGCAGTGACGATTTCGCCAACAAATTTGAAGCCCGTCAGAAACTGTCTGCGAACCAGTTCTGAAGTTGCATCCCAGATCTGGTTATTTTCGCGAAATTTTAATCCTTTGCGACCCCAGACCACCAATTTCGACACCACCCTGGCTCGCGAGCCAGTCACCTTTCTCTCCCCTTTCAACCTTCCTAACTTAGAAACTCTTGGACCTCCGGTTTTAAGTTGGGCTGCAGTATCATTAGTACTTGGAATGCATTTTGAAATTTTAATCATTCGTTTCAAGTCCTATAGTGAACATATTTGTACCGGTACATGAACCCAATCCCCTCTATTAGGGTGACGTCAGGTTATACACTTCACACGAGCTTACAGCTCCCGTATCGTGGTTCAAGACGGTCAAACACAGTGATAAGCGGTTCTAGAGTATTACCGCTCTTCACGGGTCACCTTTCTCTCCCCTTTCAACCTTCCTAACTTGGAAACTCTTGGACCTCCGGTTTTAAAAGCCCCCTTCACAAGGCAACCTTGGGTTAGTCAAAGGAGCATCATCTGTACTTTGTACACGCCAATAGACCTTCCCAACCGGCGTTGCAAGAAGACAAGATGGTGTCCGCATTTTACTGTTTACGAGACCTGTGGCCATTGGCAGGGCCTCAATTCACTTTTCTAGGATTGGAGGAGACTAAAGTTGAAGAATGATCACGCTACCCGCAATGTACATCCTTTCAAAACACGTTGTCACTTCTACATGGTGAGGGCTTGGTGTAGCTTTCCAAACAAAAATCTGGACAATCATAGATGCGCCCCCATGCGGACGGTAGGCAGACAGGCCTGGATGCAATGAAAAGGTCCAAATAAGTACCCCCCACTACCTTTCCAGTGTGTTAAACTGGTTTTTGATTGGAGACCAAGTGGTTCCTGCGTTCAGCGTGGCCCGGGAGTCGGTCAGTGAATGCGTAGAAGGAAGGTAGGAACTGTATATCGAGCTGTTGACAATGATAAGTGGGATTGTAAAGTGTCTGCATATTCTTGTACTCAATTTATGTCAACATGCTGAGATATATCGAGCGAAAATGCTTGGGATACTAGTCACTGAAAAAAAACATTCTTCACGTAATTCTTTAGTCGTGCCAGTTGTCAGGAATGTAAATATCTGGAGTGGAAAGGGATCGGAAAATATCTGGCAATCCAACCAGGTCTCCGATTCCCCGCCACCTCAATTCCCCCCATTTTCCCGACAACCAATTTCCTTTCCCCCGACCAAGCATCCCCCAAACGAACTCCTTGTCTGTTTCCAGCGTATGGCATCTCGCGCCGCTCTCTCCGCAGCTCTGCTCTCCTCTTCCCTCATTTAGAAACACTCCCATCCACCAACACATGGTCCGTTCTATCACCTCCCATATCGAAACAGACAAGAAAGCTTTTTCTGATTGTTATTCCAGTTTCAGCAGAAGGGTATGCTGTTCTCTTAGTCCACATCGATCAAATTCCAAGCCAGCAAGCAATTTCTAATTCCGTTCTCACAACTTCAACAACAAAACTTATTCTACTTCACTGCGACGTGATGGCTGGGCGGATTTTTCTGAGTAAGCCTCGGGACCGCAGCGCGAGCTCCGACGGTCTTGAGCCGGTAATCGTCGTGCTAACCGACGGCTCGATTCGCCTCTTCTCCCACGATGACCAACCACTCTCCGCCCATACCGTCCTCTCGGAATTCCCCAACATGAACCTCGCGTCGCTCGATGGTCCAGTTTCCCCGTCTGCGCCGCTTTTGCCGGGCGAGACCTATTTTCTCACGCCGAGGCGCGCGTCCGCTCGCGAACAGGCCAGTTCAATCCGTTTCACGACGCCGTCCCCCGCATCTGCCTTCCGCGCGCCGGCGACTCTCCCTCTCCGCAGCCCCCGTGCCGTGAGCGACGGCAACATCCCGCTGATGCGAGGCGGCGCCGGCGGCGGCGGGTGGGCTTTGCGACGCGATTTGGAGGCGAGCGTCGAGAACGTGTCGTTCAATCATGTCGCGACGTTTCCGACGACAGCGACGGCGACAACGACAACAACGGCGACAATGGCGGCGACCGCGGCGGCGACAATTGAGTCGATTCAAACCGCCGGTGTGTGGTCGCGCGCATCGTCGTCGTCGGCCGCCGAGTCGCCGAGTTGCGCCAGCGGCAGCACGCAGAGCCGCGAAGAGACCTTCGAGACCTGCTTCGCCGCGCAAGAAAGCTTCAGTTCTGGCCGAGGCAGCAGCTTCGACTCGGGCCGAGCTGGCGACGACGATGAGGAGCCTGATTGGAGCCGATATGAGCATGACGGGCCGTCAATTTCGTTGAACGGCCGTCACGGCGGTTATTACACTGACGATTCGAAAGCGCATGTGCTCCAAAAGTCGAGGACGCACAGCGGCGCGCAACGCTGCAGCAACGATTCCAGGCTCCACGCCGATGAGGTTCCGTCGCGATTCCACGTGGCCCTTTCCCCGCGAGCCACACCAAATCCCATCCTCGCCGAGGTAAGAAGCTTTCCCATCCCTCTCTGCTGTTGAAGCTTTCGAACTAATAATGGACAATAGTCGAGAATTACCCTCATTAAGCTTTTGACGCGCTCTCCTCTCTTGCTGCTCCCTGCAGCTGGCCGTCCTCGAAGAGGAACTTTCCCCTGAAGAGGAAGAGCCCGCTGAAGCCGACGCTTGCAGCAGCTCCGCCACCGGCGGGGGGGCGACATCCCGCGCTCCCCACGCTCCATCGTCCGCCGCCGTCGCGGAAGCGGCGTCGCTGAAAGGCAAGGTGCTGGCGGTGCTCTCGCGCTTCAACCCGCGCCATCTGCGCCGCGCCGCGTCGGCTTCGTCTAGCAAGGACGCCATGACCGCTGCGCCTCCGCCTGGGAGCGTGGAGTTCGCAAGGCGCGACGCGGACCTTCCCCCCGTTTCAGCGGTTGCAGCTCGTCATGCCTTCAGCCGCGCGGGTGCGATGTGTGGTGATGATGCTGAGTCGGCGCAGGGCTGGGTTGACGTGGAAGGCCCTGTGCTCATGATGACGGACACGCGCATCCGCCACCGTGTTCCGCCCGGTTCTAGAAGCTGCACCGCCATGGGGCAGCAGGGAGCATTCGCACAGCAGGAACAAAATTCTGGGATCCCTGGGGTCAGTGGGATCACTTCTGCCTCTCCTATTTCCATGGAGCAAGGAGCGTGGGAATCCGCTCGCCATCCTACCTGGGCCGGACCAGTAATCGTCAGCCAACAGACATCATTTTCCACAGAACCTGCAGGAGGGGTTAACTCGTTTGCTTCCCAGCAACTCCAGCGTGCTCCTTCCCTTGAAGCTGCGCAACGGACTGAACACTCTTATGAGCACTGTGAAGAGTGGCACAGTTACTCTTCTGGGTTGGCGCCAGGGCGGAGGGCGTGGGTCAGGCTAAGTGAGGATTCGGTGAGGGGGCGAAGCGGTAGTGCAGCAGCTAGAAACGAGTACATCATGCCTCCTGCTGGTGAGAGATACCTCTCTGGACCACCACTCCTTCAAGCTCACATGTAGTGTTACCGTATACTCCCGGACAAAACACCCCCCCATAATTGTACACCCCCGGGTAGCTTGTGCGGGGTGGGTGTTATGATAGACCCCGTTTCCACTATACCCCCCTTTTTGCCTGATTTTCTATAACACCCCCCTTTTCTTACGGATTCATTAGTATAGTCGTTAACGAGTAGCTGCAATACGGAAGAATGTCGTGTGAATTTCTCCCTCAATGAAATTTCGCGGTACATTCAAAGGCAATCTGCCAAGATTTGCCCTCTCCCACTATTTCTCTGTTGCCACGTGCAGGTGAATCTTCCGTTGCAAGTGGCAAGAGAGGTGTCACATGGCATTTTCGTGAGGGCGATGAAGTTCGAGGCCGAAACTGACATTCGCGCCTCAGGCAGTGATGCTAAAACGACCAGCAAAACACCCACATTGACTAATTAAAAAAACACTAACATTAAAATATGCCATATGTAAAGACCCGGGTATTATGTATTTTTTTCCTATGAGGAGACCCCCCCCATTTTTTCCCTGTATTTTTAGCTATACCCTAGGGTGTTATGTCCGGGAGAATACGGTATGTACCGGCAGTTCATACCGTATCATGTAGGTATGTCTGCCCCTACGCTGTAGGCTCAGGAATGGAGGCCAACGTTGACTCTTTCGCTAGATGCTTTACCCAACAGCTTTGTAATGTTGCCTAGAGGAGGGTGAACGCTCCTTCATGTATCCAATGCGTGCTAGCAGAATACAAAATTGTGCTCAAGTTGTGCTAGACCACCATTCCTAGGCCAACTCAAACTGGCAGTCCTACAACCTAGTAGTATCTTGCCATCGCTCCAGCAAGCCTCCCACTGAAGTCCCTCTGCTCAGTAGCATATGTCCTTCCTAAATTCCCCCCTCAACCCTTCCACTAGCACAAAGCACAACTCATGCACTCCCCCCTGCGCATCTGGAATTCTGTGGATGAAAAACCAGCTGTTGAACCTGCTGCTGCACATCTGCTCGGCGCCAGCTTGGACCTTCCCTGCCAAATCTGCTTCTGCTTTTAGAAATATGCTTGTTCCTTCTGAACTGGCACGAGGATAACCGTTCTACCCACCCAGGTGCTATCACAGTTGCTGCTGCAAAGCTGCTGTAAGGTTGCTTGCATGTGCCACCGCATTCCAAGATTCTGTAGGTGGATTCCATTGGGTGGCCTGGACTAGGCTCAAGCCTAAACATGAGGCCTTCCATACTCCCAGGTTGAACTCACTCTTTCTCCGAGGTCGCTTCAAGACCCCAGAAAACATCATACTCTAGGAGAAATTTGACCCTCCAATCCGGAATGATTTCAAGCTGCATGACCAGCATGTGAAAAGTGCCCGAAAGCAGTCCGCACTTCTCTAATCACCTCATGGCTCAGCCTCAGCCTGGTTAGAGGACCAAAAAAGAGGTAATGCGCAGACACCAAGGAGCTCCCCACCACGAATATCCACGCCGCTACATCCCTCCACCCCCACAGCTTCAGCCGTGCCCCGTTACTACGAACAGCTATGCAACTGTCTCCTTGTGCAGATTGCCTGGCCTGTCTGCTCCGGCCTCCTTTCCCTGACCGCTGACGCATAATGTAACATTCCGTCGCCGAAACTATTCCATGGAGAGTGAAGAACAGCGTCATTTCGCCTGTAACCCGGTTACTCATGTACCAAACGGCCATCTCGTGAGCCAATCCGGACACAAAGAACGTCGCCAGCATCCCCAACAGCTTCGCTAGTCTACTCTCCGTTATTGGTGCCTTGCCCTGAGAGTTCCGTTCAGCTCCGTTACAATGTATCCCACCGTTCTGTATCGCACCGTTCTGCTTCTCCCCATTTTTTATCTGAGACATTCGAGCTTCAGCAGGGTGCGAGTCGTCGTTCCGATCAGCTGCCGCTGTCCCTACTGCTGCTGCTGCTGCTGCTGCTGCAAACGCCGCTGATTCTGCTTCAGACGCTGATGAGGATGTGACTGTACGGGGAGTGGTACACCACATGACCGCGAATTTCACGGGCTCAAAAATAGTTTCGCGAAGGCACGTACTGACGGTGAGATTCCACCGTCGCGACCAGAGCTCCTGGAATGACGTGGCGAAGTACGGGTGGTTGAAGTGAGGCAGCATCTGGATGTCCAGAAATGCTGCTGCGACGCCGGCGAAAGTTTCGCAGACGATGGTTACGAAGAGGAAGAGGTTACAGGATAAGACGACGTGCATTAGGAAGAGCGGGGCGACGTCGAGATACGCCATCACCTTCGTCAGGTGATAAAACACAAACACCTTAAAACTGCTCCGGATTAAGAGCATAGACCATGTCTCCGACTGTATCGTATCACTTATCCAACCAATCACGCTCTGCTTCGTCGCGTCGGGACCCTGCTTTCCAGAAAGCTCCTTCGAAATCGGCTGGATGTGAATTGGGAGGGAAAGAGCTGCGACGAACCGGTAAATGTCGGATGAAATCCAAGGGCTGGAAAGAACGCCGGTATCCCAGCAGAAGCACAGGAGCTTGAATGAGCTGAGCCAAGTCGTGATACAGTAGACTATCACGACGCCGAGAATCTGATCCTCTTGCCGGAAGATCCATGGAAGAAAGACGTTTGCGGTGAGAGCTGGAATGGAGACGATTAGCCTGGGAAAGCCGACTCGCGTGAGTTTGACTACGGTGTAGCAGTACAAGGCGATCAACAACGCGCCAGCACTGGCGAGAGCCCATCCTTGTCCCCATGTAACATCCAGCGCCATCGAAGGGTGCTGAAAAAACCTAGCAGGAAGCAGCGATTCTCAAGCACGGCGGGAATGCATGCGTCTAACCTCAAACAGCCTAGAGATTGACGAAAGGTTTCCGTGATACGTCAGTCCACCATAGTCCATGGCATTCTGACAATAGAGACCTGCATTTGTTGTAGTGAATCTAAAAAACTGTCGTGAAGGAAAGCTTTCAAAACCTTGATGCTGGATTCTGTGCCTCATGAGGTTGCTCCTTTCAGCAACTGATACAAGTGTAGGACAAGTGAGTTTTTGTGAGGGGGAATTCTTCCTCTGAACCGCTGTATACGTATTAAAAAAGCGAGTCACCATGCCGTATCTCGAAATGCTGGATCTGGAGAAATGCTTTGGTTCCACGTTCCCTCCACTATTTCATATCTTTCATGGTCGTGGTTCCAGTTGATACACCATGCAAGATGCACCACACAACCATTTGATCTGTGGTGATGGTGCCACTGTGCCACATCAAACACATCTACCTGTCGAATGCGTTTTCTGTTCAAGCAACCAACCTTGGCCTTCGATCCTCCGCGATATTTGGAATTGGTTTCCTGAGCTCCTGATCCCAAGGCAATGTGCGCCGTCGAAGTCAGAATGTTCGCAAACCCTATCGAACGGCACAGACGATTCCGATCACCTGCGAAGAATATGACGAGCAGCGATTGGTGCGCCAGTGACAGCCAGCCCTAAAAATACACGAAACGAAAATCACCTCACACCAACTAAAATCTCACCATTATGCACCACATTTACAGGAGCATCAGCAGGGGAAGGAATGCATGGAGTGTTAGATACATATTCTGTACATGGAGCATGGAGCATCATAAATATTTGTACATAGCCATTCTGATACATAACCAGAGCACAGCAAAGCTCTAGATCGAAATATTAACTTATCCTGGTTTCTCCAGCTAATTGCTGCAGCTGAGCAGCCTTCAAAAGGTCCTCTGAGATCAAACTCTTGCGGGAATGCGACCTCCTAAAAATGCGACCACTCGATGCAGGATTGCCTCGGTAAGTCCCATCAGAGGTCCCAGGTCTTGGACATGCGACCTTTGGATGAACGAGCGATCCACTGCACGGGTAGTAGCCCGAACTGTTCCGGTGATCTCTTTCTTGCTCTGTTCCCCCTGCGGTGTCATCAGCGCCCTGCCTCATTTGCGGGGGCCGCTCCGACGCGCTTGTGCTCATATTAGGTCGGTCGCGAAGAGATGTTGAAATCCTCCTTTCCCAGGATCTTGGCTGACGACATCTGATGTCAAGTTCCGAACAAATCGCCTCCAGATCGACGGGGAAACTTCTGGAACGTGCTGAGAGTGAATGAACATTTTTCTTTGGCCGCGGATGCACAACATCGCGTCGCACGATCTGATACGTGCCTCCTGGCTTCAGTATCCGATTTGGCGACAACGGCGCGAAGCCGCCATCTGAGCTGGTAGCGAATACTTTGTGGTCGGGATACTGGCCAAGGACTCGGCGCGCCGTGACCGCGACGGAGTCAAAATCCGTCGCGTAAAGTCTGGCGGAGCCGTCAGGGAGCATGACGACGATGGGCTCTGCGAAATTCAAAACGTCGCTGGAGCTCCTGCGATGGAAGCGAGGTGGAGTCAACATTGGTGCTGGACTCGATGCGACTGAGATAAACCAAAAGAACTGGCAAGTTCGAAGTCTCAACTGGAAAGGCTGAGGCACAAGCAGTGCCGCGTAAGAGATGAAGAAGTCTCACGAAGGCACAAATTTATGTGCGCAAGTTCCTGATAGAAGCAGGCACACGTACTAGAATTATGACTGGAATGGGAATCGTCAGGGAGAAAGGGCCGATTCACGCTACACGTAGAAAGATCTGACGGACGCGGTGCAAGTGATGCACAGAACCCTCAAGACACGCCAGGACAGGACCAAGACCATCACCAAAAAGTTGAGGTCCCGTGACGGTCCCCACATTTTGGCCTTCCCCGCAGACTCTTTCAGGGCTCCCGAAAATGTCCCAGATGTGTCTACGAGCCGGAAAGAGACATTCGGAACAGTATACAGTGCTTCCCGAAAATGTTCCATCCTAAAATGGTCCCGCAAAGTCAAATTTTTTTTTTTTAAATAATCCGTCAAAGTTATCCAGCCCGCAGTGTCCTAGTCGATGTGAAGGTCTGTAGACCAAAAGCTCATTGGTTCGAATCCCTATGTTGAGATCTATGCATGGAAAACTTTTCAATCAATTTTTGTGACCCTGGTCTTCAGGCCTTTTGGAATACAGCCTGGTATATCTCAACGGGACGTAGCGGGCGCGCTAGCGACAAAGTCGCTCCGGCAAGACGACAAACTGCCCGGGGCAAAAAAAATAAACCCCAGACGGATGGCATGCCGTTCGGGAGCCTAAACCCTAAGATTTTAGGGTTTAGGCTCCCGAAGGGTGCATGCCATCCCGATGGGGTTTATTTTTTTTGTGCCCGGGTCAGGGTGACGCTCCCGAAAGCGCCACCCCCGAGCGTCACCCCTGGCAAAACGGAGCGTCACCCCCGATTCCGTTGAGAGATACAGTTCTGTACAAGAACCTCTCCCCTCGCCTCAACACAAAAACTAGATCCATAGCTGAGCTGCCTGCCAGCGAGGCGTATGAATGTTGTTTTGTGACGTTCAAACGTGCGGTTTACTCCTCCCGCTTTCTCAACTCGCGGCAGGTGCTGCTGTGCTGCTGCTTTCGTGTTGCTTGCGGCCAATATCACTGATACTCAAATTATGCCAGGCGCGGTTTGCAAAAGTAATCAACCGACATTTTGCTGGTAGAGTAACTACATTTACTGTGTCATCTATTTTTAAGCACATTTAAAAAACAAATCACCCCCAGCACCTCAGATGTGTCAGAATCCCAACCACTAGACCATTGGGATAAAAGGGCTTGTTTCAGTAGCGGGTCAGTGCGCCCATAACCCCCCAGGCAAACGCGCCTGTAACCCTCTCCAGGATCGATCGGGCATCCACAGTGCAGATCTACTGACAAGCTGCACGTACCCAACAAAGCAGGAAAAATATTAAAACGCATGACTGAACCTTAAACTGAAAAATAACCTGAATGCGAGAAGGCATCAACCTTAAACACCTTGTCGCATGACGTTTAAGGTTGGTGCCTCTGTTACATAACATGTCATTCGATGTGGTTTTGATCTTCTTCTGTTCTAGGTCAGCAGGTCCATGGTGGACGGAAGGTTGACGGTGACGTCGACCCCGTTCCGATGAATTAATCCCATTCTGCATCCTTTTCTCTAGTGGTCCATTTTAACGCAATTTGCGCTTGATAAAATTCTTATTTCTTGGGTAACTTTTCGACAGAATTGTTCATTGTTAACTTAAGTGATTGCGTTTCGTTTCTCACATTTCGGAAGTGTTATTAGCGTAAAAGTGTGATTGAAAAGCGACGACCAATCAGCGTTGAGAAATCGAGTTGAGTACCGACGCAAACTTTCTCTGGCATACTTTGAGTATCAATGATATTGGCCGTGTTGCTTGTGTGATCTATGTTACCTCACATACAAATCTATGCTCACTCCAGGACGCAGCACGCCGTACACAAGAGTGTAGCGCCCCCAAGGTTCACGGTTCGTTGGAGATCTCCGCAGCAAGTGCGTGTGGAGAGTCTGGCGTGTCTCGTCCAGCGCGATGAAGAACGTCTTCTGCATTCAAGAATGGCTACAGTAATCGCGAGAATGGGTGACGGAGCGGGGAATCTGGGGATCTTTACAGACAAAGGCCTTGTTCGATTGCACTTCATTCTTTTGTACAGCCCCACCAAAGTATAGCCGATCGGCCTAGGGTGTCCGAACCTGGGGTCACTACCTTCCAGATGCAACCTGACTTGGTTAGCAGTTTTGACAGCTGCCCGAACAGCCCAAGTCACAACAGTCAGAACCGCGTAGTCAACCGATAAAACAAACTGTCACAGTGCGCAATTCAATCGATTCTAGCAAAATCAGATTCGAGAAATTGTTTCACAAAATTCCAAAATAGCACGTGGTGAACTTCGGAAAACTCACTGTTGGGTGAAAGATGAAAAATTCAAATCTCAGTGTACCCTCGAACACAAACGCGTTTCAAAAAACAATAATCAGCTGCTTTACGGGAAAACTGTACACCAAACGTTTTAGGGTACAAATGTTTTTACACAATTTCTGCCCGAAATGCTTACACCTTCAAATGGCATTGGGGCGGCTGTCGTTGGTGCAGCCAGCGGAAACCAAGTATTTTTTGCCCGTGAAGAACTGTTGCTTGACCAGTGGGTACAGTGTTTGGACCGCGGTCCGCAGAGAAAATTACCGCACCAGATTCGTAGGTGTGCCGAACGTACACCTAGCCCACGCCAATTTCGATCCCCCAATTTCAAAGGATTTGTCGTCGCCTGCTGGGGTTACAGCACACGTGGCATGGTGAAGGGTCAGCAGAACATTACGACGCTGTGGGATGACATGCTGGCACTTCATCCCATACTCAAAATTCTTGCCGAACCACTCTCAAACAAAGAGAAACACTTCAAAACCAAACTTTCTCGCTCGACACACGCGGGAGGCAAATCCGCCCCGTCAGCAGAGACAGCTAGGTGCTCACTCCCTACACAAATATCCCTTGCGCAAGCGGCAAAATCGCGGCTCGGTGTTAAGTTTTTGAAATTAGCGCGGGCTAGGTGTACTTGAGGTTCTGGTTTGGGTCCGCCTAGCCTCTCGTGAGGTTTAAAGCCCTCGTTTGCAGCAGCCGAGCCTTTCCCGAGCCACGCAATACTTGGTTAGGACTGTGGTTACCCCTGGACTTCAAAGCTATCGATCGAACAAGGCCAAAATCTGTAGTCCCCACCAGAGCGCCTTGACAGGCCAGATGAAGAACCGTGAAAGGCATGAAAGGTCCCACCGAGAATTGAACTCGGGCATTCAGATTCAGAGTCTGACATCATAACCGCTAGATCATGGGACCCCGATATCTGGCGGGTAAGTAAAAATATTAACAAACTAAATAATTTGCAGTTCAACTTTATTTCCTTCAATACACAACAACATTTGTTCACTGCATTTCATACAATCGCTATTGAGAAACACCAGCCAACATTTGCCTAAGGTAATCTGAGAACGTGAAATCAATCACGTTCAACTGTTCTCCCTCACCTTTACTCCCCACAGTCTCCTCCAATCTCACTCTCACACATCTCGGCATCTTCTCTTGGTTCAGGATGCCTCGGTAGTGCATTATAACAGGCATCCCGGCTTCATAAGAAGCATTCCAAACTTCCCCTGTGGCATTCCCCGGAAGCAACACTTCGTGAACTGTAACCTGGTCAATTCTCCGCGGGTCCAGAACCACTTTCCTCCGTCCAAAGTGCTCCGGGCAGAAAAAAGCTTTTGTTGTGTTAATGGTGGCGGGCTCACTGTAGTTGAGGCTGCTGCAGATGGGAAGTCGGCTCCTCATGGGTAAATAACCCACCAGAAGCTCCTTTTCCCTGAGCCCTTGGGCCTCATATCCATTTATCTCCTCCTCACCAGACCCTCCTGCTGTTTCCATAAACTCCCTTGAGCCTCTGCTTGTGCTGATAAGTCCAGTGCTGCTGCTGCTGCTGCTGCTGCCGCCACTGGCGCTGCTGCTGTTGCCACCACCAGTGCCACTGCTGCTACTGGCAGTGCTGCCACTGCTGTTGTCGTCCGTGTTTTTCTCCCGGCAGCGCGTGATGAAGCCCCAGTACGCACCCATGGACGCCCACGCGCGGCTGGACCGTGCCAGCGCTGCCAGTGCGGAGGAGAGCGACGCGGGCGGAGGAGTGAAGATGTACTCGTCCATGTCCGTGAATATGAGCCACCTGTGAGGGGATGGGGGGGTAGAAGTGCGGTGCATAAGGGTGGAAAGAGGTTAGGTTGGGGAGTGAAGATGTACTCGTCCATGTCCGTGAATATGAGCCACCTGCAGGAGGGATGAGGGAGCGGTGGGAAAGTGTGGAGAGAGGTTGGATTGTGAGGAATTTAGGTTGGGGAGTGAAGGTCCATGTCCGTGAAGATGAGCCACATGTGAAGAGGGGGTGGGGGATGGGGAGCGGTGGGAAAGGGTAGAGAGAGGTTAGGTTAGGGAGGGAAGATACTCGTACATGTTCGTGAAGATGAGCCACCTGCGGGGGGGGTGGGGGGAGGATGAAGGAGCGGTGGGAAAGGGTGCAGATGGGTCAGATTGCGAAGAGGTTAGGGAGTGAATATCCATGTCAGCGAAGATGAGCCATCCGGGGGGACGGGGGGGGGAGGGTGGGGAAACGAAGGAGGGGTGAAGATATGAAAGAAGATATGCGTAAGTTGTGCAGGGAAGGGGCGTGCAGCTGCTCAGCGTGCCTGCATGCCGATGCCAAGCTCTCAATGTGAAATGCAATAAAAACGTGTGCACATCACCCTGAGCTGGAACAAGTTCCCTTCGTTCTCGTTATAAGTCACAAATAGTTAAGAAATATAGAGGGTCATTACCTGGCGGTGTAGCGGGCGCGGTAGAGGCAGTCGTTCTGGGTCAGTATCTGGTGCCAGTAGTGCGACCGGAACCGCTCGTGCCCCAGCAGCCGCGTCACCGTCACCAGCCCTCGCGCCTCGAACGGCGCCACGGCCTCCGCCAACGACGGCTCCTCTTCTCCGCCAGTCTCCGCTCCTCTCGCTCCGCCCACCCTGCTCACTCCGCTCCCTCCTCTTGCTCCGCTTGCTGCACTTCCTCCTGCTGCTGCTCCTGCTGTTGCTGCTGGTCCTGCTGCGGTATCTTCTGACGTGGTGGAGTAATCTCCGCTTATAGCCCCGAAATCGTGGAGGAAGAAGTGTTGTACGCCAACTGCGCGCGAGTGGTAGTGTAGCCAATCAGAGACGGCACGGGGCCGCAGGTGGCCATAAAGGGGACCGCTACAGTGCGCCAACTGCAGGGAGAATCGAGAGGGGATGGTGTAACAGTGAATGTAGATGTATTTGTTACAATCAGACGGCGGCGTGGGGATGAACTTGAGCAGTGGGATGGGGAATTCAGACAAGTAATTTCATACACGATACAACGGCATTTGGTTGTAGCGTACCTCGTATATTGGCGGCTGCTTTATAAGCTCAAACGCGCCCGGCTCCTCGCGAAGCACCTCCATTTCAATCTCTTGAATCACCAAAGGGAACTTCTTTACAATCGCCCTCGGTTCCTCGGTTCCCCGTCGCCGGAGCAGCAACGACCCTCCGTTATTGTCACCCCCCACGGGCCGCGCGAACGTGCAGCGAATCATCACCGGCGCCCACGGCGTGCCGTGGTAGTCCTCCTTTCGAAGCTGACGTAGGCGTGACGTGGCGGGAGAGGGAGAGGGAGAGGGAGAGGGAGAGGGAGAGGGAGATGGAGAGGGAGAGGGAGAGGGAGAGGGAGAGAGAGAGGGAGAGGGAGAGGGAGAGGGAGAGGGGGAGGGAGAGGGAGAGGGAGAGGGAGAGAGAGAGGGAGAGGGAGAGGGAGAGGAAGAGGGAGAGAGAGAGGGAGAGGGAGAGGGAGAGGGAGAGGGAGAGGGAGAGGGAGAGGGAGAGGGAGAGGAAGAGGGAGAGGGAGAGGGAGAGGGAGTGGGAGAGGGAGAGGGAGAGGGAGAGGGAGAGGGAGAAGGGAGGACATCAGGAGAGAGACATTGCGGATCTCGGAAACGGCGAGTATGGGTGAAGCGCGGTGAAATGCATGGCTACCCAGAGAAGCTCCGCGGCAGCGATCGCGCGGGTGAAATGTACGGGGGAGAGGAGGTGCGGAGAAGGAAGGGAGGGGGGAGGAGCATACCCAGAGAAACTCTGCCGCAGTCACCGCGTGGTCGTCGGTTTCCCCCTCCCACGCGCACTCGTCGACGAGCACGCGCTTCAGATGATGCGCCAAGACGGGTGTGAGGTACTCCCCCATTACCACGAAGCTGCTCTCACCCACGCGGTACGCGCTCGCCACCGCCATCGCTTTCAACGTTAGCGGCAGCACGCGGAACTCCCGGTCCTCCGCCCGCATCCCCCCCGGTCCGCGCTTCCCCCCGCGCAGCGCTACGTCCTCTTTTCCCCCACCCTCCGGACGCCACCGTCTATCGCCGTCATCGGGGCGCTGTCTAGGAATGCCGGCCGGAGTGTTACCCGCTGCTTGCTTATTTCGCAGAGGTTCTGCGCTTTTCTCCAACCCGGATAACTCCGCGTGAGTCCCTAGCGGGGCGGGTAGATTCAGAAGGTACGAGATGGAATCTAGGGAATCTCGCTCTTGCGGCCAATGGACGTCAACGCTGACGTGGACGGACGGCAGGGCCGGCCACGTAAGCCAGCAGAGAGTTAGAAGGAAAGGCGTGAGGATCAACGCGCGCCAATGCCACGTGGCGTCCTTCCACGGCTTCGCCATAATTGGTTGGGAAACGATAGCGAACTCGACGCGAGCTTTGATCAACGGCGGCCCGGGCGTTATCAAGGCGACCCCGGAAGAGTCGCTTGTTGAATTGGAGATATGAGACACTATCAAGGCGCCATGGTGTCGAAGTATACTATGGCTTACGAATGTGCAATGCCGTACCGATATGGTGCAGCCTACTAAGGCTCATGAGCCATACTAATCCGCATTCACGGTAGTCTCGTACGGAGGGAGAGTCTAACTGGAAGGCGGGAGCGTCTAACGGAGGCGAGCTATCCCCCGCCAATTACAGAAGGCGACAGCGTAAGTGGAGCTAATTCGGAATTATTCGAATGCGACGGGTGCGCGTGCATCTAGACATGACCGCGAGCAAGTAAGACCTGCTCGAGACTGGGTATTGCCAATTGAAAGGTTGGTGCGGGCTGTCGCTTCGGCAAAACCAGGTCATCCTTTGTTCGCAAAGTAGGTGGTGCAGTACTAACTGGGTGCGGTTAGCAGTTGGACGCTTCAGCACGACTTGCGAGGCGGCGGGTGTTGCGTTCAGCTGAGGAGAACCGAAAAGCCTATACAGGCGCGGCTTAGGTCTGGTTTGGGTTGGGGAAACTTGGATCTGGTTGGCTTGTGCAAGAAATTGCTTTTGGTAGGAGAATTTGCCCCTGGCATAGCACAGCGATGGTTGGCTTCTGGAAGCTGGAGGTACGTGGCGGATTGAGCTAGCGGACAGCACAAGTGCACATCACTCAGCCGGTTTCGCTCGAACCGCCTCTCTCATCGCGCTTCGGGCGAAACTTCTTCTCAAGCAAGTGGTGCACCTCGTAACACTGTGTGGCGAACACATTGACGAATCCAAGCTCCATTTCGATATAAGCAACGACTGTTTCATTGGATGACGGGGATTTGCGAAGGTGCGTCAACAACTTCCTGAAAGTGAAAGGTTTCGCTCTGGAATATCGCACGAGGTGTCGTGGTCGTGGTCTTGGCATTCCCGTGAGGTGCGGCAAGTCCACAACAATCCCGCCACGTCAGCCGCTGGAGGTTGAAGAATCATCGTGAAAAGGAATTGCACGTATCTCGCATACCAGATATCCGCATAAGTCGTGAAGATAGCTGCACTGCTTAGCAACCTGAGTAATCACTATGCAAACCTAGTACCGGTACCTTAGAACACAATGTCAGGGCTGTGCCAAGTGGGATCTTTTCTGAGGCAGTCATCAGCGAGAATTTTTTTGGACAGTGGCATTACAAAACATGTATATGCATGTATTACTCATGCATGAAGAAAATTTTGTTCAATCTACTGTTATACCACCGTGTCAATGCATCTCTGGCGCTAACTCCTTTCACCTTAGTCCCCACCCACCTGTCATCCATTAAAGCCACACCATGCATGCCGTTAGATATAAGAAAAACCCCCCTAGTCTGCCGCTCCTTGCTCGCCCTCTCCAACCCCGTGTACACCAACTGCGCCATATTATACATCGCTGTCCGCTCCCCAACCTTGCAGTAATTCGTCTTATATCGAACGTTCCGCCAAGTGCCAGACCGCACAAATATTGTTATCGGCATTGGAATATCCAAAAGCTCGTTCACGCACTGTACCGTAGCAGTATAGTTATAAAAATTGTGGTCCGGAGTGGTGCGGGTCTGCCCTCCAATCGCCGCCGCGACGACGTCAAAAAGCGATTGGATGACGAAGATGGGAGTTTTTAGCGCCATTAGGGCTTGCTCGGGGAAGAAACAGGCCCAGTGGCGCGAGGGAGGGAGCCCTGCAGGTCGCATTATTTCAAAAAGGAGAAGCAGAAGGGAGGGGAGAGAGGGAGGGTTTTTTCGAGGCGCATCAAAAGTTTTTTGAGAGCTCGGGCAATCCAGGGGAAGAAGGTTGATGCCATGCAAAGGCGATCGGAGCAGGGCGGGAGGAAATAGGGGCAGCAAGGGAAAGAAGGTGCGCGAGGGAGGGAGTGGGGAGGGAGGTGCGTGTGGGAGGGAGGAGGTGGGGAGGGGATGGGGAAGGCCCTGACGTTTGCGGCAGGCAGGGTTGCTGAGTTGCTGAGTGGTTGAGATGCTCTTTGCCAGCCGCTCCCACAGCCGCGTGCCGTTGCGATCTATGGAGTCTGCAGGTGTTGAGAGGGGTTGAAGTGGGGTGAGGGTGATAGGAGCAAAGGAGGGGATTCAAGAAAAGTCAACAGGAGTCTTCATGTCGGTTTGTTTCGGGTTTTTGTTCCCTGCTTATAAACGAGACCATATATGTATACTAATATGTGTATAGGTATGATGTATATGAGCTGTATTAATAATAAAGACTTTGTCTTTTGTGCGGCACATCACTCCACTTTCAGACAAAGTACCCAAACGATGTATGTAACAGAATAGGTTGATGTTACTTTTAAGAATTCTCAAAAGTAACATCAACATAGCAAGCACCCAAACAATACATGTAACAGAATAGCTTACTGACAAAATAGCCCGAGTCTGCAACGCAGCGGGTGGTGGCGGTGGGGAAGGCAGCAGCCACGCGGTCACAAAGGTAGATGGTTGCCTGCCCGCCCGCTGAGCTGCCCGAGAGCAAAACCTCTGTGGCCAGATTAAAGCCCCGCTTCGCCTTCAGGTCTGCAGGGAGGGAGGGGTTGGGAGAGGAGGGAAGGGACGGCCGGCGGGGAGGGGAAGGGGGGGAGGTGTAGGGGGACGGAGGGGATGGGTAAGGGGAGGAATGAGTGGAAGGAGGGGGGAAGGAATAGAGGTAGATGACCGCCTGCCCGTTTGCTGAGCTCCCAGAGAGCGTAGGAGGTTGAACTTGAGCAGCAGGTTGAGCAAAACTTCTGTGTGGGCAGGTTGAAACCCCGCTTCGCCTTCAGGTCTGCAGGGAGGGAGGGGTTGGGAGCGTTGGAGGGAAGGGGCGGCCCAGGGGGGGGGGGGGGGGGGAGGGGGAAGGGTGGGAGGTGTAGGGGGACGGAGGGGATGGATAAGGCGCCGGGGGAGGGGGGGGCGGGGCATGGGATTAGAGTTTGATAGTCGCCTGCGGAGACTTTGAGTCGACTCATAGGATTTGAGCCGTGAGTGGGAGATGGAAAAATCTCCTAGGTGCAGCACCAGTAACTTCATACGTGCGAGGGTGGGGTGAGGGGAGGAGAAAGAGGGGAGGAGAAAGTGGGGAGGAGAAAGTGGGGAGGAGAAAGTGGGGTGTGAGGGGAGAGAGAGAGAGTGGGTGTGAGAAAAAGAGAGCGTGGAGTTGAGAGGGGAAGGAGAGAGAATAATGTCAAAAGGGCAACAATTCACTCCCAAAGGAATCGTCGCCCTTCGATTCACTCCCAAAGGAATCGTCGCCCTTCGATTCACTCCCAAAGGAATCGTCGCCCTTCGATTCACTCCCAAAGGAATCGTCGCCCTTCGATTCACTGCGATGGAATCGTTGCACAGCCTCAAGCCTGGGGCCCCTTCGATTCACTCCCAAAGAAACGCACCATCTATGATGGACCGAACGACGTTCCACCCATCCATGTAAAGAGGTACGATCTTTTGCCTCCCCCCCGCCGATCCCCCTGGCTTCCCCCCGACCGTCCCCCCCGGCCTCCCCCCCACCGCCCCCCCGCTCCCCCCGCCTGCCCCCGGTCCCCCAGGCCCGGGCTTCATCCCCGCCAGCACCCGCCCCTGCTTTCCCCCTTGCCCCCCTGCCTGCCCGCCCGCCTGCTTCCCCCTAACAGGCGCGCCCGGGATGGTGACGTTGATGCGCCCGCGCTGCCCCGCGAAGCCCCCGCCGTCGCAGTAGTTGATGCGCGCGAGGGGCCAGTCCGCGAATAGCGGGTTCACATCCGGATCGTCGTTCAGAATCCCGCCCATGGGAACCGACTGGGGGAGGATGGGGGGAGCGGAAAGGAGTGGGGGGGAAGAGGAGATGTGCGCTGACCCGCGAACGGAGGGTTCAAGTCCGGAAAGCCGCTCAGAATGCCGCCCATGGGGGCTGACTGGGGAAGGATGGGGGAGGGGGGGTGGGGAAAAGGGGGATGCGCGCAGTAGTTGTGACGAGAGGGGGTGGGAGGAAGGGGGAACGAGAGGGGCGCAACTTAGGGACGTTGAAGGTGGGGGGACGGGGAACGAAAGGGTTGGCGAAAGGAGAGTATAGGGGAAGGGGGGAAACGGCGAGGAGGGAGACGGGGAGGGCTGAGAGGGGGAGGGGGAAGCCGGGGGGAGGGAGGAGGGGGGGTGGGGGGGGGCGGGGTAGGGGGGGTAACTCACATCGGGGATGATAGTAGGCCAACCCTCACTGGAACCCAGGAAGGTCAAGGAGCGATTAAGGCACTCTTGCGCGTTGAAGCACCACCCTCCCGCCGGCAGGTGGATGTGAATCTTTATCTCCGGGTCGCCCCCCGGCGTTTGCGCTGGCTGCCACGTGGCTCGATCCGCGGCGCCGCCCGCCGGCAACGACGATGCCCATTGATTCGGTTTCCCCGTGGTAATCCCGCTGCTTCTGCTGGCGAACCACCGCCGATTGGCGGACTGGGCGCTGCCTGCCACGTGGCCGCCTGCTATTGGCGAAGAGGCTGCGCGCGGAGAGGTCCGCTTGACGGGCGGTGCAGGGGAGGCGCCTGGGCGGAAGTAATACGAAGGTTCGCTGAGGAAGTGGGACGGGGAGGGGCAACGGGCGAGCGGGAAAGGGGGAGGGGGGAACGGAAAACGGAGAGGGGGGAGCGGGAAGAGGGGAGGAAGGAGGAGGACGGGTGAAGAAAGGGGAAAGGAGAAGGTAGGGAGTTGGGGGCGAAAGGAGCAGGCAAAACGGTATGCGAAGGTATGCAGTTCACCTAGACTACTTAATTCTCTCATGAGTCAGCAGAAGCATCGACCTATCAGGGCGTGCCACGAGGTACCTGCCGTCGAGACATCTGGCGCCTAGCGCGTTATTCGGCAGGGTGACGAGCCGCATGGTTCGCAGCATGCATTCGCCGCCGCGAATCGCGCCCCCCGCCAATAGCACCAGCGCCACCGCGAGGGTTACTAACGACGGCGCTCGCGACACTCGCAACGATCTTGACGATCGTGGCATTACGACGGGCTGCGAACGGCAGTGGCGAAGTAGGCGCGTGTTACCCGCTATTCGTTCCGCGGTGGCGCTATGGCACATGCGATCGCGCAGAGACGACCTCCCGCCTATTAAAGGCGTCTCTATACGCGCCAGGCGATGTTGCATACCACTACAGATGTTACAGATGCTGCACTTGCGATCTGGTTACGGACTATACTTCTCATAGCGCTTCACCATTTCAGTCCCTTCTAGCGGTATCCAGACGCGGGTAGTCTTCATAATGCCATCTAGACGCAACTAATCAATTTAGACTGACTGTAATGGAGCTGAACTGTCGACAATGAACATCAACTATTTAAAGCTCACGACCTAAATTGCTCAACCGGCGTCCTGCTCGTTCCATTACAGCTACGATTAACTGGAACACGAACGATTAACTGGAACACGAACGATGCATCGGCGACACGCGCAGCACAGCGGGAGCAAGGCTCGTCCGCCGCAGCAGTCACTCGGTAGGGTACGGTACGGTATTCAATCGTTTGACCACTGCAGCAGACAGTAATCAATCAGACCAGATCACTGCGCGGAATGACAGGGAGGAACGAGATGAAGGGCAAGCTCCATGGACTGTAGGACGAGACTATCGAGGCGGAACACGCGGAGCCGACTTAAGGGTTGAAACAGGCAAGCACATATGCTGCATGAATGCATGGTTCGCATTGTGCCTGCATACCTGCCACTCAAGCATGTTTGCTGTTAGGTCAGGTATCAGACAGTTCTGTACAGTAGTACTGTCGGTGAGCGTACGTGCACACTGGTGCACCTACTACGGCTGGTTTGGTGGGGTGAAGAAAAAGGGGAGGATCCATGAGGTTGGTGACGGTTCTTGGTGCTTTCAAACGGCGGTGAACGGTCACAGCTGTCAATATTTGCAGGTGGAGGGGCCAATTCTGGAACAAATGTCGGGGATGGGCGAATTCGGGCGAAAAGGGGGATGGAGATGGTGGGCGGTTGGGGTAATGAGGGAAATGGTGGGCGGTTGGGGTAATGAGGGAAATGGGGGAGGGGAGGGTGAATTTGGGAAGTGAAGGGATACCGTAGCTCGGGGAAATGGAGGGAGGGGAAGAGGGGACAGCGCGGGGTGGGGGAAACCAAAAGGCGCAGATGCAGCAGGAGAAAATGGTGCTTGTTTGCCCGACACAGCTGTGGTGGGCGGTGTCGAAGGGAGAAAAACAGGTGGGGCGGAAATTGTGCGACGGAAATGGGGAGGTTGGGGAGGGGCTGGAGATGGTTCTGAACCAATCACAGATGATCGCGTCTCGGTATGTAATAGTCGCGAGACTTGGTGGTGACTGTTTGGTCAACTTACCGCCGCCAGAATCCGAGGCGCTGAGTCTGTAGCGAGGGGAAGGATATGAGGGTGCTGTAACGCAACGCCGACAGCATCTGTTTTGCATGAAATCGCAAATATATAGATGCATTAACGGTTTACAGCATGCAGACAACAAGAATGAAAAGCATGATAGTAATTTACATTATGAGAAATACCAATTAGCAACAGCATCTCTCATCGTGACCCCATTAAAAACACTGTTCGTCCAGAGTTCAGATGTGATTACTGCATGCTCATATTCCACAGGCAAGAATGTGCCGAAGCTCTTTCGTCTAAGCATCTTGGTGAACCTTGCAACATTATTCGCCACCGTCAATATCGCCACCAACTCGTCCGGCTTGCAGAATGATGTTGGCCCTTTTGTTGCATTCACCCCAGCCTGCAATACGAATGCAGCCTCACTCGCTGCCGCTACATTTGCTACCCCTCTTGATGACAGCGCCTTGTCTGATGCTGCTCCGCTTGCTGCCGCTTCATTTGCTTCTCGCAAATTCGCTTCGGCCCATATGGAGTACGTAGTGTAACCGTCTCCCTCAATCTCCTTCCAACCCTGTAACAGTCCCTCCTCACTTCCCCCCTCATCCACAGCTGCTAGGTCAAACGCTTGGCGAGAAATCTTTGGATTATTTTTCTTCTCCGGGAGGACGGGCAGGGAGAGGAGCGAGCGCAGGCAGTTCAAGACGTAACCGTAGTCCTCGGGCAGCTGGTTACCGCGCACGAGGGCGCGGAAGTCAAAGAGCGGCTGCACGATGAAGACCGGGCGGCGCGTGACAAAGGCGAGCGCGTACTGCGGGAAGAAGCAGCGCCACTTCTTGGCGGGGGGTTGCGCTGGGGGATGGGAGAGGGTTGGGGTTGGGAGTTCAAGTTGATGGGGTGAGTTGGTGAGGGGAAAACAGAGCCTTGAGCCTTGAAGGCGAGCGTGTACAGGGGAAAGAAGCAGCGCCACTTTTTGGCGGGGGGGTTGAGTTGGGGGATGGGAGATGGGGTGAGTTGCGGGAAGAAGAGGAGGGCAATGGGGAGAATTGGTGAAGTCAAAGAGCGGCTGAACGATGAACACCGGGCGGCGCGTGACAAAGGCGAGTGCGTACTGTGGGAAGAGAAAGAGGAATGGAGTGGCGAGTGTGTACTGTGGGAAGAGAAAGAGGAATGGAGTGGCGAGTGTGTACTGTGGGAAGAGAAAGAGGAATGGAGTGGCGAGTGTGTACTGTGGGAAGAGAAAGAGGAATGGAGTGGCGAGTGTGTACTGTGGGAAGAGAAAGAGGAATGGAGTGGCGAGTGTGTACTGTGGGAAGAGAAAGAGGAATGGAGTGGCGAGTGTGTACTGTGGGAAGAGAAAGAGGAATGGAGTGGCGAGTGTGTACTGTGGGAAGAAGCAGCGCCAGCGCATGGCAGGTGGTTGCGCTGGGGGAGGGAAACGGGGGTGATGGGGTGCATTTGATTCGAATGGGGGTGATGCTTGAATGGGGGTGATGCTTGAATGGGGAATGGGAAAGAAGTGGGGGGAGAGGGGAGCGATAGGGTGAGTTCAAGGAGGGGCAAACGGACCCCATTGTCTGGTTTTTGAAAGTCTGGTCGATACAGTGACAAGTCATCTGGTGCCAGACCAACTCCTCTGAGAACCAATGTGTTGCGAAACATTTGCAAACATTTGAGCACCGATGTGACAAGAAGATCCGCATAAGGTGCATCGAGAGGGATGGATTGCGTGATGCATTTCTAGGGTGAATTACCCTTGGCGCATTTGGGGTTGCCCACAGACTCGTGAAGCTCCGCCATGCTCTTCACCGTGTGCTGGAAATAGGGATAGCCGTTCCGGTCCAATGAGTCTGTTGCACGAGTGAACAAGGGGGGGAGGAACGTAAAACCAGGGGGAGAGGGTCAGGGGAGTGCATTGATGGTTGTGAAGCTCCGCCATGTTCTTCACCGTGTGCTGGAAATAGGGATAGCTGTTTCGGTCCAATGAGTCTGTCGCATGTGGGAACAAGGGGGGTAGGAACGGAAAACAGGGGGGAGAGGGGAAGAGGGGAAGAGGGGAAGAGGGGAAGAGGGGAAGAGGGGAAGAGGGGAAGAGGGGAAGAGGGGAAGAGGGGAAGGGGGGAAGAGGGGAAGAGGGGAAGAGGGGAAGAGGGGAAGAGGGGATGAGTGGAAGCCATGAGTGGAAGCCATGAGTGGAAGCACGGACTTGTGAAGCTCAGCTGTGTTCTTCACCATGTGCTGGAACTAGGGGTAGCTGTTTCGATCCAACGAGTCTGGTGAACTGGGGAACAATGGAATGGAGGAATTCCAGAATGGGGGAACGGAGAAATGGGGAATGGGGAATGGGGAAGGGGAGGGGGGCGCAAAACCGTCAGTCGGGATATGCAGTGATAGTCACAAAGAAGAGGCACTTTTGGCTTTAAACGAGGAGTTTGGGTGTCAACACCCCATCAGTCAGCACGAGTCAACGCAAGTCAACAGTTACCAGTGAAGTAGTCGGAGTCCAGCAGGCACTTCACAGCAGAGGGGTGGGCGACAGAGGCAACTATCTTACAAGGTGCATCAATCAGTGATGAAGGCCATGTCAACGGGAGTCAACATAGATCAACCTCAGTCAGCGCCAGTCAACGCCAGTCAACACCCACCAGTGAAGAAGGCGGAGTCCAGCAGGCACTTGACCGCAGAGGGGTGGGCGACTGAGTTGGCGAGGAGGCCACAGAAGGTCACCACGGCTTGACCTCCCGCTGATGCCCCGGAGAGCAGCAGAGAGGTGGCGGAATGCAGGCCGCGGTTGGTGAGGAGGTCTGGTGGGAGGGCATGGAGGGAGGGAGGGAGGGAGGGAGGGAGGGAGGGGGAGACGTTGGTAACGTTGAGGCTCGACGGGTTGAGACAGCACAGCAGAGACGGAGGCAGGAGAGAATGACAGTCTCTGTGTAAGGACAGGTAAGGAAGAGAAGAGACTGACAGGGACAGGTAAGGAAGAGACTGCATGCATGCAGAGGACTTTTTCAGACATTTCAAAAGTGAACAGGTAAGGGTATAAGTGGAGAGGCTGGGTGCAGAGAGAATGTGTGGCGGGATGGGGGGGTTGGGCAGAGTGTGTGGAAGCTTCTAGAGCACAACAATCACTGCGCACCCACCCACTCACCCACTCACTCACTCACTCACCCACCCAGTCACTCACTCACTCACTCACTCACTCACCCACCCACCCACCCACTCACTCACTCAGCCACCCACCCATCCACTCACTCACTCACTCACTCACCCACCCACCCACTCACTCACTCACTCACTCACTCACCCACCCACCCACCATTCAGCACCGCTTTCAAGATCTTCCACCCCTCCAAGTACAGGGTAACATTGCGACCGTTCACCCTCACCGGCCCTCGCCTGCCCACACACCCACCCACCCACATACCAACCCACCAGTCAGCACGGCTTTCATGATCTTCCATCCTTCCAAGTAGAGAGTAACGTTGCGACCATTCACCCTCACAGGCCCTCGCCTGCCCGAGAACCCCCCTCCGTCACAGTAGGTGGGGACGACGACGTTCCAGTTGTAGAAGCGCGGATTCACGCTCTTCCTGCTGCTCAGTATGCCCTGATAGCCCCACCGCGCCTGCAGGTGCAGTAGGGAGGAATGAAGGCGGCATAGAACACGGAGGGAGGGATGAGAGAGGGAGCAGCGAGGGACTGAGAGAGCAGTAGGTGGGCACGACCGCATTCCAGTTGTAGAAGCGCGGATTCACTTCACGCTCTTCCTGCTGCTCAGGGTACCCTGATAGTCCCACCGCACCTGCAGTGAGGGGTCAAGGTGGAGGACGAGCGGCGTGGCAGCATTCCACACAGCAGCGTGCAAGGAGGGGTGAGAGAGGGAGGGAGAGGTAAGAAGCAGACACGAGCTCAGATATTGACAACCAGGCGAACGGTTTAGATTTAAGCTCAGAGTTTTCTACGGTTCAGATTTAAAAACAGAGATTTCTACGGATGTGAGTGATGGAGTCAAGAAACGCTTGGAACGGTGACTCAAACGAGAGGAGATGGGGGCAAGAGACGAGCTGCCAATGCTGCCGTCCCCCTTCCTTTTCGCACACTCCCTCCCCATCCCCTTCCCCATTCCCCCTCCGTCCCCCTCCCTCCCCCTTCCTCTTTCCCCCTCCCTCACCCTCCCCTTACCTCCTTCCCCTTCCCACCCCACTCCCCCTTTCCTACCCATTTCCCCCTATCACCCCTCTGCCTCCTCGCTCACATGGCGGTATGGGTTCTCTTCTTGCAGGTCGGCTCGGGACGAACCCAGGAAGGTCTTGGCGCGATCCGCGCAGGTGCTGAGGTTGAAGCACCACCCCCCCATGGGCAGGTGCACATGCCACGCGTCCGCGCCCTCCCCCGAACCCGGGCGGAAGTAGTACCCCGGGGGACTGTGGGGGGTGGCAGCGGGGGGTGGGGGTTGCGGGGGAGAGCGGAAGGGGGATTGCGGGGGGGAAAGGGGGACGGAGTGGGGAAGAGAGGGGAGAGGGGAAAGGGGAGGAGAGAGGAGAGAGGAGAGAGGGGGAAGGGGAAGGTGGGCGGGGGTGGGAGGAGAGAGGAGAGAGGGGAAAGGGGAAGGTGGCGGAACCCGAACGCCCTCCGCCCATGCACAAGGGAGCAGGGGGCTGGGGGATGCGCGACTAATGGCGAGGAAGAATAGAGGCAGGAGATTCACACAAGACAACCATGGAAATGAGGCCTTCGCAGCCCACCTGTCTTCTCTTGACAATTCAAACCAGACAACCACGGATTAACTGCAACGCGCCGCGAATACCACGATCACGATCATATTACCGTGATTGTCACACTCGTCCTATCCGCGCACCTGCCGTCCAGGCAACGCGCGCCGTACGAGTTGTTCGCGAGTAGCGTCAGCTCAGGCTGCCACGAATCGCTGGGCTGCCACGTGGAGTTTCCCCCAGCCGCGACGTTTCCGCCGCCAGGGATGCGCCCCGCGGGGAGAGGCGGCGGAACCTTCGGCGGAACCTTTGGCGGAATCTTCAGGGAAAGCTTTGGCGAAACCTTCGGCGAAGGTGTTCCTGGAATGGTTACCACCGCGGCTGCCACTGCGGGACCTTGATAGCAGCCGGTGCTCGTTAGAAGCAGTGCGATTATACACGACGTCACCATGCGACGAAACGATGCGATTACACCCGACGCCATGCGTGCGACGTGAGTGACGACAGGAGTTTGCGATATTTCACAGTAATTGGCGAGAATCTCGACGGTCATTAATTCAATTGGAGAGTTTTAGGATTTAAAGCTGCTGACTCCACCGATCGCGACGTGGAAGAACGGGCTGCCCGGAAAAGGGATGTACTAGACGCGACACGTCGCATCCTGTAGGACTACAAGGTGGCACGACGATCACGGCTCTTCCTAGCTGAAAGCGTCATAGCGAACACCCCGCACCTAAACAGAAACAAAAAGCAGCATATATTTTGACACGAATTTGATATGGTTCAACACACACGTACGCTGTGCGACGCTAATCTGCTCCCTACGATCCGCGCTGCCCCCTGCTCTAAGGCGATCACGGCCGTCAAGTCTTAGCCCAAATCAAAAACAGCCGCTCTGGGTCGATTGGGGGATGGAAAACAAGAGGCGACGAAATCGTCTTAGGGTTGCGAAGCATTTTACATAACGATATGTACACAAATTTTTACATTTTACATAACGACATGTACACAATTTTCTACAAGTGCGAATACTTTAATAAAAAACTGTGGTAATTGACATTTATAGCAAGACTCGAAAAAGCAGCTTCGGCATGATTCGAACCTACCTCCTTCGTACCCAACGCCTTTCCCCTACCGACTGCACAAGCGCTACTGCACAGAAAAGCAACATGACTTTATAGATTACATTACATTACGACGAATCTGACACTTTGTTAGGTTTGCTCTTCCTTTCATTCTCCCTCCCTTCCGCTCGCTGGTTTAGCTCCCCGCTACTCACGCCCCACCTACCCGTTCCTACTAAGGTGAGAACAACTCTACCTTACCGTTTCAAGTAGAATTAAGTTACCTGATTTCTAGCGAGACTAGCATGCGTTAATCTCGTACCATAGTTGTTTACTCTTGTGTTGGCCGCGTTTAAAAAAAATAGTTTGATTAAGCCTATGTTCTAGGTTCTAGGTATTCGTTTTCTCTTTCTCTTTTCTTCTCGCCAGTGGAGCTTGTTCTTTTGCCTCACGCTACTTACGCTCCACCTACCACTCCAAGGTCAGAAAGTTTAAGATGTCATTTAGAGTTGTTAGCTCATGGTAAGATGTAAGCTCTTATTGTCGTCATTTACTTCCTATTCTTAGTTAGCCCTCCCTTTCCTACTTCCTCTCGTTCTGCTGACTGGCTACGGGACTTCCGCTAGGTAAGCTCCTAACTTGCAACTTAAACGCGTTCGATACTTGTTAGGTCGACTTAATTCTAACACAGGACGGCTTAGATCTAAACTAGGTCGGCTTAGATCTTGTTTTTACACATGTTTTTTTTCGAAATCGTAGAAATCGTAATTTATTGAACACTCTCTCTATCTCTCGTTCGTTCTCGCTCGTTCTCTCTCTCGTTCTCTCTCTCTCGTCCTCGTTCTCTCGTTCTCTCTCTCTCGTTCTCGTTTTCTCTCTCGTTCTCTCCCTCTCTCTCATTCTCTCTCTCTCTCTCTCTCTCTCTCTCTCTCTCTCTCTCTCTCTCTCTCTCTCTCTCTCTCTCTCTCTCTCTCTCTCTCTCTCTCTCTCTCTCTCTCTCTCGTCCTCTCTCTCGTCCCCTCTCTCTCGTCCCCTCTCTCTAGTCCTCTCTCGCTCCTGCTCTCGCTCTCGCTCTTCGTTGTTCTCGCTCTCTGTATTCGTTATATTCTCTTCTTTCGTTTACTGTCTCGGTATTTTGTTCCTCTATTCCCGTTCCTTATTTTCGTTTTATGCCTCGTTAGATTCTTCTCCATGCTCTTTGTCAAGTCTAACCATTCAATGCTCACGGCGTTTTTCTTAGCCCTTGTATTGATTCATTTGTTTCTTCGTTATTCCTATTTCTCTTCATTTCATCACACCTTATGGCTTTTTTCTGTTTTGTTTGTTGTACCGGCTATTCATTTCCGTTCCTCCTTTCCACTTCCTAAACCCGTTTGTCAGGGGCCTTTCCGGTCAGGAACGCGATTTCAATCCAGAAAATGTGCATTGGTCACTAGGATTTATCGTATTGTCCTTTTAACATTGATTTACTTGTTATGTAGTTCGCGTGTATCTCGTGTTTTTTGGCTGGGTTTGCCGGAGCTCGTGTTTTTAATTGTGTGAATGTGTTTGTTCGTGTGAGTGCATTCATCTCATCTGTCATTGCAATATCAATGCATGTCTGTCAATTTTAAAAAGGGGGTTCATTTCTATCATTTCTAATTGGTTCATTGGCGCACTCAGTGACTCGTGTGTTTGCCACTTCGAACTGGATTTGATAGAGTGAACCTCTTTTTTAGAGTTAACAGATTGTATTTTTTCATGTGCTAGTTGATTATTCAAAGATTTTGCTATTGACCTCCCCCCCATGCTAGGCAGGGGATGGCGATAGCTTAGTTTTTGGGTTGTTAACTGTCACGCATTTTATCATGTGCATGTGCATCATTCATCACATATCACATGCATTATATACATCATTCTATGCATTATGCATTGTATAGCATCATTTATGCATTACGCATGCACCTCTTCATCATTACACAACATCATCTAACAGTAACATATAATGCAAACAGTACAGCAAATCTCCACTAAACAATTGCAAAATATTCATATGGAATAATGCACTATGAACAGTACCGTATTCAAAACTGCTCAACATGCATACAGTATGGGAAGGGTAGTACTGTAGTTGACAAAATTTATTTTCATGATTTTTTAAAAAAATATAAACATGAAAATAAAATTTGGCAAAATCGATCGTAAAGGGTTGCTTCTCAACCCAAAAAAGCAATTTCCAGCCTTCCAGTCCAGGCACACAAAACAACCCTGCTCAGTCGCACTAGACCAGTCTGGTCTGGTCAGGAGAAACAACCTGTTGGAAAGCTGATTTCTAAAATGTGAAATGGCAAGTGGAGGTAGTATCGAGGGGGGAGAGTTCCTTCCGCCCGCGGCCCGCACCAACCACCACCACCTTGGGGATGGCACTGCTTTTGCGCGAACGGCGGATGGTTCTGATGCGGTTAGCTGGGATTGTGAGGTTGCGACAGGTTTCCAAAACGTTATTACGGGTATCGGTGAGGTTAGTCCTCGATAAGATACGCGGTTCGCGATGTCAGGCGGGCTGGGGGAACATCGGTGGGCGAATGACTGGGGGGTGAGGGGATTATTGCATGGCCGGGGGAGCGCTCTGCGCCGTAGTGCGTGCCAGAGGTAGGACCAGAAAAGTCAACCAATCATCGGTTTTAGTTTGCGTTCACGATTTTCTTTTAGTATTGAACATTTGTACTGTAAATGAAAATTGCAGCACATGACGGTGTCTGTTCAGCGGCTGTGATACAAAAACGAGATTGCTTACAATGTATGGTTGCCCCACGAGGGACGTGGTTTGCACACGGGATAGGCAAACGCGATAAGCTTGGGCATGTGTGCATCATTTGTCGAGCAGATTTTAGGGTTGAGCTTTGATTGGTCAGGACACGGAAATAGGCTCGGAGAGTAATACAATTCTTCATTATGATTGGTTGGGCGTCGTGATTCATGGTACAGGACGCGTTTGCACCTGCCGGCAGTGACGGCACCGCGGTTGGCGACATCGCCAGGTGTAGGCCGATGTACAGTGCGTCTGCAGACGTTGGCGTCGCAATCACAACCGAAATGGCGAGACTCTACGAGAAAGATTTGTAAACCCAGAGAGTACAGTATGGGCAAGGTTGGGCGTCGCGTGTATGCGTGACGCGTAACCATCTCCATTCTACAGCACCGCAATTCGTCCCTTTGGGTGGTTCCTTTCCTCTCCTTCTGGGCAGGTACGTTCGGGCTTCAGGAGAAAGCTTTTGCGATCATTGAACGAGTCTGCAGCCCGGATATTTGCCGTCTCTCTTGGCGCGTCGCGAGCTCGAAAATATCGTGAAGTCGCGCGCCGTCCTTATTTTCCAGACCACACACAGAAGGGCGAGTCATGCTCGCGCGCTCTGCAGTTCAGCTTATCTCCAAGCGCGCGAGAATGACTCGCCCTTCTGTGCGGCGTTCATGCTATCATATTCCCCCTTCCAGCAGAAGCAGCACAGGGATGCACTGTACTACTGTAGTGTAGTGTAGTGGTAACTGCCGTGGTACGTATCATCTTCCCTCAGATTCACTAGGAGTCAGACGTTCTTAACACAAACGCCGCACTGGGCCCAATTTCTTAGAGCAACACCTTGCCTAAGATTCTTACCAATAGACTCATTTCGCATCCGACGCACACCTTGCCTCACATGTTGCTACCTGAAGCACACCGTTCGTGTTTCTACTACTCAGCTCATACTCCTCATAATCTCTTCGTGTCATTTGTCCATATACCCGGCCTTTGACGCGCCTCGAGAGTCGCCTCTGCTCAATACTTAGACCTCATAATTTCCTCCTGTTATCTGGCGATGCGGCCTGGCCGGGCGTTGCTCATCGTGTTATCTCTCATGGCAATCGTCGCGCTGCTTGCGCTTATAGTCGGACTATTGTTATGCGCAAAGGGGACTCCTGGAGAGACTCCTCCTGGTACCACTACTAGCAATAGTAACACGCTTATTCTGCTGCGCAATAATAGGCTCGGTGCCAAGTGCCTGGATGGAAGGTAAGCCTGCAACGTCTCGGAAGTGTCTCTTGAGACGTCTCAGAAAGTGTTTTGAGTCGACTCAAAACACACCCGGAAGTGTCTTTTGAGACGTCTCAGAAAGTGTATGGAAGGTGAGCCTGGAAACTCTTGAGTGCCGGCCTCCTTGTTCACATGGAGGAAGGCAGCCATTATAAATTACTACTTAAAAAGTGCCTGGATGGGAGGTGAGCCAGCGAGGCGTCAAATCAGTGATTCTCAACTGATTATTCGCTTAACACGCAGCTTGTGATTACTGATATGAAGCAATGCTCCTGGCGAAGCTATCAGTCCCCCATGCCATCTCCCCCATCTCCCCCACACCATCCACCTCCCCTACTCCAGCCCTCCAGGGTACTACTTCCGCCCCGGCACCGGCTCAGGGCGCTGCAAGTGGCACGTGTACCTTCCCGGGGGTGGTTGGTGCGTCACTGTTGCGGAATGTGTTGAGAGGGCGGGCACAGGATTCGGGTCCACAAGAGGATACCCATCCACCCCAGCAGCCGAGTAAGGCTGTTGCTTCTACCCTCAAGCCTTTGTGAACTCTCGTTTATCTATTGAAGTTTGTGTGCGTGCGTGCGTGCGTGCGTGCGTGCGTGTGTGTGTGTGTGTGTGTGTGTGTGTGTGTGTGTGTGTGTGTGTAATAAGCTTGCTTCTTGACTTCATTCAGCTATAAGCTGTTTGTTTTTTCCTTGCCCAGTCAAGCCTTCTCCTTAGCAAGCACCCTCGAGCGCTCCGTTTGCATTGTGGCATTGCCATGCACAGGCTTGGTTTGGCGATGTACTAAGCGCCAATGAGACCGCGAACCTTGAGTCGACTCAAATGCCACCTCTTTGCTTTGCACTCTTCGTTTGCATTGTGGCATTGCCATGCACAGGCGTGGTTTGGCGGTATACTGAGCGGCCACGAGACCGAAAAGCCCGTCTTTAATAACTGGAACCTTGTGAGGCTGGTCTACTGCGATGGCGGGGGCTATGCCGGCACGCGAGGGCGGATCAAGCTCACGCGCGGCTTCTTTCGATTGAACTCGACAGCCACTGCTTCTTCGAGAACGGTGCGGCTCGCCGCGGCAACGAATGTGAGCTTCGATGATGCAGCCGGGTCAACAGAGTCAAACAAGCCAAGCAAGTCAACCGAGTCAACCAAGTCAACGGAGTCAACCAAGTCAACAGAGTCAACCAATTCAGTGCCTTCAGCCATCTACCTGGATGGATGGAACATCATTCAGGCTGTGCTCGAAGGTGCGCCGATTCCCCCCCTTCCATGCACCCTGCAGAGCTCTTCTCCTCCACCCACCCGTGTCCAGCTGTCATGGCATATATTAACAAAAGTCATGTTTTGAGTCGACTCAAAACCCACCCGTGTCCTGCTCGCGCTCATGGTATTTTGAACTAAAGTCCTTTCTCCCTCCAATCCATACCCCTCCTCTCCCATTCACACCTCCAGCACCACCGTGGCTTTGGTGCCGCCCCTCAAATTCTGAGACGTCTAAAAATAATTCCTTCGTCCCCCATCCCCCATCCCCTATCCCCCATCCCCCATACCCCATACCCCTCCTCTCCCTATCAGACCTCCAGCACCACCGTGGATTTGGCGCTGCCTCCCAGATTTTGCTTTCGGGCAGCTCGGCTGGCGGGCAGGCCATGGCAAACCTCTGTGATTGGCTGGCCTCGTCTTTCCTATCCGCGTCCATCCGATGCCTTGTGGACTCCGGCTTCTTTCTTGGTACGCCATCCCAGTAGCCATTCCAGTAGCCATCCCAGTAGCCATCCCAGTAACCATCCCAGTAGTCAGCCCGACCCTCCTCGTAATCCGCCCTGCCATCCTAGTAGTCAGCCCGACGTATAAAAAGTGGATTTTTGAGACGTCTCAAAATTTCACTTTTTACATGTGGCTTCTTGGTAACTTGGGCCTGAATTGGCCCTCCCTTGCTTACCATAACCATGCCTTGTGAGCGCAGTGCCCACTTTTCTCCCCATGGACTCATTTGCTGAACTTGCTCGCACTTGACTTTTGCACTTTTCAGACACGAGGGATCGCTTTGCAAGGTGCACCTTTCGTGCGGTGGCACGGAAATTGACCTGGCTGCATCGTCCGTTCAACCCCACCTGCTCCCATGATACTTCCTCTTCCTCGCACCATCATCCCTCATCCCCCATCCCCCCCCCCTTCGTCGCACTTCCTATTCAACCCTACCTGCTCCCATGGTACTTCCTCTTCCTCCCACCATCGTAACCTTCCTTGCACATGTATCCTCCTGTAACCCGCTCCTTCCTAGCATGATATCACCTTTGAACCTTCAATCACCTTTGTTTTGACTCTTCACCATTCTCCACCCCATTCAATCCAGCCGCCAGGCGATCCGAGCAATGGAAGTGCTTCTTCCTACAGCACACCCTTCTCAACATCTCCACTCCAATCTTCCTCTTCCAAACCCCCTTTGACTACGCCGCTGCCATGATTGGTAACTACTTACCTAACAACTACCACCGTGTGGTATCTTGCATGAGGGATGTCAAACTTATATGCTATAGTCTGTGTAGGCTGTAGTGGGGTAGACTAGATGAGATACAACATTTCTAGGTTTTCTTACTTGTATCCACCTGCTTGCTAGTTCCTCATTCCTCATTCTTCACATGGTATAGAACAGGTTTCTTCGTGGGAACGCTTCTCAGGGCCCACCACCTAACTCGATCTTTTTTTTCTTGCCCGAGGCGCGCCTCGTAAGCCACCCTCACGTCGCGCCCTCCTAGAGGCCCCTCGCGCCACCCTTAGCGGTCTCGTTGCCGTCCTTTCCGGCCCCGTCGCCGCCCCTCTAGGTCCCTCGGGGCCCCTTCACAGCCCCGTCGCCGCCGCTTTAGGCCCCGTCGCCGCCCCTCTAGGCCCCTCGCGGCCCCTTCGCGGCCCCGTTGCCGCCGCTCTAGGTCCCGTCGCTGCCCCTCTAGGCCCCTCGCGGCCCCGTCGCCGCCCCCTCTAGGCCCCTTACGGCCCCTTCGCGGCCTCGTCGCCGCCCCTCTAGGCCCCTTGCGGCCCCTCTGTGGCCCCGTTGCCGCCCCTAGCGGCCCCGTCGCCGCCCCTGGAGGCCCCGTCGCCGCCCTTTGCAGCCACCTCGCCACCCTTAGCGGCCCCGTCACCGCCCCTAGCGGCCGTGTCGCCGCTCTTCGCGGCCCCATCGCCGCCTCTACCGGCCCCGTCGCCGCCTCTACCGGCCCCTTCACCGCTGAGCCGCCCAGCAGATGAGCAGCCGAGCCACCAAGCCGCCAGCCGCCCTGCAGCCGAGCTGCCCAACAGCCGAGCCGCCCAGCAGCCGAGCTGCCCAACAGCCAAGCTGCCCAGCAGCCGAGCCGCAGAGCCGCCGAGCCACCCAGCAACTGAGCCGCCGAGCCGCCCAGCAGCCGAGCCGCCCAACAGCCGAGCCGCCGAGCCGCCCAGCAGCCGAGCCACCGTGCCGCCCAGCAGCCGAGCCGCCGAGCGTCAGCGAGGTGGGGGTACTGGTCCCTACACCTACGTCCTCCGTACCGGCGACCGCGCTGGTGAGCAGTGCGGGGGCCCGCACTCCACCCAGCGCTGCTTCGGCCGACTGACAGACGCGTGGCGTCACCAGTTCCCTGACGCCACTGAGATCCCCCGCTGGGAGCTGTCTAGAGCGGGGGTTGCTATCTTTGATCTTGATTATGATGCTATTCTTGCTGCCATGTATGTTGTGTCTTCTACTGATGAGGGTGACTGTTACATGTGTGTTTCGCCTGACCCGGGCATTGAGGCTGCTGCTCTAAGTGCTGGTGAGGCTGCTGCTCTAGGTGCTAGTGCGTCTGCTACACCGGGTGCTAGTGAGTCTGCTCTCTCAGGTACCACGTCGGCTCAGGCCTTACACATCTTCACCCTTGACTCGGGCGCTTCCCGCTCCTCCTTTCGAGACCGCACCACGCTTACGCCGCTTAGTCGGCCGGTTGCGGTCTCCTTGGCGGACCCCTCTGGGGGTCCTCTCCTTGCTAGCTTACCGTGCCCGGCAGCCCCCTCTGGCACCCTGTCAGGTCTCTACCTCCCCTCGTTCTCTACAAACTTGGTGAGTGGAGCTGATCTACAGGATAGGGGGGTTGACCAGTTCACTCCTGCGAGTCAGTGGGTGACCCACTGCACGTGTGCTCGGACGGGCCGACACTTGGCCACATTAACCCGTCGGCCGAGGTCGAGCCTGTACACACTGACTACAGAGTCTCCTCCGGTTGCTGAGTCTGGTCACGTAGCTGCGTCGAGTCAGGTGTTTGCTGCAGCGTCCAGGTTTGGTCCTGAGTCTGCGCCCTGCTCGTGTCGTCTCCTGTCCCACCAGACTCTCCTTTGGCACCACCGCCTTGGTCACCCCTCCCTGCCTCGTCTCCGAGGCATGGCCTCACGTGTCCTTGTCTCTGGTCTCCCCCGATCCCTACCTCCCTTACCTCTGGGGCCTGCCCCTACTTGCGTCCCCTGCGTCGAGGGGCGGCAACGCGCCGCCCCTCACTCCTCCGAGTTTCCTCCAACAGAGGCTCCACTGCAGACTCTTCACATGGACATATGGGGCCCCGCCCGCGTCCGTGGCCAGGATCACGAGCGTTACTTCTTGTTGGTGGTTGACGACAACTCGCGTTACACCACGGTGTTCCCCTTGCGCAGCAAGGGTGACGTCACTGAGGTGTTGATCGACTGGATCCGCGCAGCTCGTCTCCAGCTCAGATAGAGTTTGGTCTCGGACTTTCCTGTTCTGCGTCTGCACTCTGACAGAGGCGGGGAGTTTTCCTCTACCCGTCGTGCACAGGGCATCCGCCAGACCTTCACGCTTCCGACCTCTCCACAGCAAAATGGGATTGCTGAGCGCCGCATTGGCATGGTCATGGACGTCGCTCGTACGTCCATGATCCATGCGGCTGCCCCCCATTTTCTGTGGCCGTTTGCGGTTCAGTACGCAGCGCATCAGCTCAACCTTCAGCCCCGGGTCTCCTTGCCAGAGACCTCCCCCACCTTGCGGTGGACGGGAAAGGTTGGCGATGCGTCTGCGTTTCGGGTCTGGGGATCTTGGGCGTTTGTCCGCGGCTTGTTTGCGGACAAGCTATCCCCCCGTGTTGTTCCCTACGTCTTCCTTGGCTTCCCCCCTGATGCGCCTCGGTGGCAATTTTACCACCCCACCTCGCGTCGTGTTCTGTCCTCTCAGGACGTCACCTTTGACGAGTCGGTGCCTTACTACCGTCTCTTCCCCTACCGCACTGCACCCCTCCCCGCGCCGCAGCTCTTCCTTGCGCCAGGTCCTCCCCCAATAGACCCCCTCCCCCCTCAGGCTCCTGCCCCGTCAGGTGTATCCCAGGTAGACGCAGTTGAGCCTGTCGAGGTAGCTGTTGACTCTGGTGCTGCTAGAGGTGCTGAGCCTGCGGGTGCCGGGTCTGGAGGTGCTGAGCCTGGGGGTGCGGAGCCTGGGGTGCTGAGTCTAGAGGTGCTGAGCCTGGGGGTGCTGAGTCTAGGGGTGCTGAGCCTAGGGGTGCTGAGTCTGGGGGTGCTGAGCCTGGGGGTGCTAAGTCTGGGGGTGCTGAGCCTGGGGGTGCTGAGCCTGGGGGTGTGGAGCCTGAGGGTGCTGGGTCTGCTCGTGTTGTCTCTCGCGGTGCTTCGTCGAGGCGGGAGCTACTCTCTCCGTAAGAGCTGCGTGAGTGGTTTGCCCGGCGCTGGAGCCGTGCTGCTGGAGCTGGAGGTGCTACTGTTGCTACTGGTCCCGGAGGTGCTCGTACTGGCGGTACTAAAGCTTCTGGGACTGGGGGTGCTACTGGGGCTGCTGGAGTTCGTCCTGCTGGAGGTACTACTGGAGCTGCTGGCGGTACTGGAGCTGCTGGTCCTGCTGGAGTTGGTGCTGCTGGAGCTGCTGGAGCTGGAGCTGCTGGGGGTGTTGGCGCTGGTGGTTCTGCTCGCGCTGGTGCGCCTGAGGGTGCTAGAGTTGGCACTGTTGGAGCAGGAGGTACTGTTGGCGCTGGTGCTGCCGCTGGGGGTACTGGTGTTGTCCGTGCCAGTTCTAGAGGCGCTGCGCGGCCGCGGCCGTACTTCGTTCCGCTCCTGGAGCAGGTTCTTGGTCTCTCGCCTTCTACTGGTCCTGCTCCTCCCTTAGAGTGTCCACAGCCTGTCCAGTCGCGGCCACAGTTACAGCCCGCCTCCCCCCTACCTGCTCCTTCTCCCTACACTGGTCCTACTGGAGGTCTTGCTAAGCGTCGTAAGCCAGCGTCTCGTCCTGCATCGCCTGTTCGTGCTGCTCGCACTAGTCGTCGTGCTCTGCGTCCGCATCCTCCTGCGGTCCCAGGCACACACCAGATGGCACTGCGTCCTTCCACTGCTCCTCTGCGTGTCCCGTTGCCGTCTCCTCCAGCGTCCTCTCTTTCTACTCTTGCTGACCCGGAGTCGGACTCCCTTCGTGCTGCTAGTCCTTCGGTCACGCGCCTTCTTGCGACTGTTGTCACTGACCCTTCCTTTGAGTCCACTGCTGCGTCTGCCTTGGTTGCTGAGCTTGTCGACTTTGCTGCTCGCTGACGCATAGACTACGTTGCTAGTCTTGTTGCTCAGTCTGAGTCTGTCTGTCCTCCGTCCGTCGAGGGTGAGTGTGCTCTTAGCACGGACGTCCTTGAGGACAGGCAGGAGGAGTTCCAGTGTTTTGCTGCTGCTTTGCCTCATCTCGTCTCCACGCTGATTGCCCCTGAGGGAGACCCGGATGCACCAGACATCCCGACTCCTCGATCGTACGCTGAGGCGATCGAGGGTACCTACTCCTCTCAGCGGCAGTCAGCCATGGACGCACAGATGGCTTCCTGGAAGTCCATAGGCACCTACGTCGACGAGGTTCCCCCACCTGGGGCGAACATCGTCAGTGGCATGTGGATTTTCAGGGTGAAGCGGCCGCCGGGTTCTCCACCTGACTTCAAGGCGCGTTACGTGGCTCGAGGCTTCAGTCAGCGGCAGGGAGTTGACTACTTTCAGACCTTCTCTCCCACCCCGAAGATGACCACTCTTCGGGTGCTGCTGCACATAGCCGCTCACCGCGACTACGAGCTTCACTCTCTTGACTTCAGCACAGCTTTCCTGCAGCACGGCTTGCATGAGGAGATCTGGCTGCACCGCCCACCTGGCTTCACTGGGTCGTTTCCTCCTGGTACCAAGTGGAGCCTCCGACAGCCAGTCTACGGTCTCCGCCAGGCGCCGCATGAGTAGCACGACACACTGAGGACTACACTTGCGGCTCTTGGGTTTGCTCCTTCTACAGCCGACCCGTCGCTGTTTCTACGCACCGACACCTCTTTACCACCGTTCTACATCCTCGTGTACGTCGACGACTTGGTCTTTGCCACAGCTGACACTGCTGGACTCGCCCACGTGAAGTCCGAGCTGCAGAAGAGACACACGTGCACTGACCTGGGTGAACTGTGCAGCTACCTTGGCTTGCAGATCCCCCGGGACAGAGCACAGCGCACCATTACCCTGACTCTGTCACACATGGTGCAGCAGGTCCTTCAGCACTTCAACTTCACGTACTCCTCGCCTCAGGCCACTCCTCTGTCTACTCGCCACTCGCTCTCAGCTCTGCCTTCGGATGAGTCCATAGAGCCGAGTGGCCCGTACCCAGAACTTGTTGGCTGTCTCATGTACCTGATGACCTGCACAAGACCTGACCTTGCATACCCTCTTAGCATCTTGGCACGCTATGTTGCTCCTGGGAGACACCGACCAGAGCACATGGCTGCAGCGAAGAGGGTGTTGCGCTACTTGTGCAGTACGTCGGGCATGGGGCTAGTGCTTGGAGGGCGACATCGAGTGGTCCTCACAGGTCACGGAGACGCTTCTTGGGCTGACGACCAGGCTACGCAGCGGTTGTCACAGGGTTACACCTTCAGCCTTGGCTCCGGCTCTGTTTCGTGGCGGTCTACCCGCTCGTCTTCTGTTCTCGGCTCCAGCTGTGAGGAAGAGATCTACGCGGGGGCCATGGCTGCACAGGAGCTACGCAGGCTCACCTACCTGCTGACTGACCTAGGAGAGCCGCCTCGTTCTCCTCCAGTTCTGTACGTAGACAACAAGGCCATGCTGGCCTTGTGTCGGGAGCACAGACTGGAGCACAGAACGAAGCACATTGTTCTTCGCTACTTCCTTGCTCGTGAGCTGCAGCAGCGTGGTCAGCTGCGCCTTGCTTACGTGGCCTCTGAGGCCAACACTACTGATATCTTTACCAAGGCACTTCCGCCTGG